CTCATCATATACTTCGACGAGGTCAGCCCCACGAACCCACTTGCATCCAAGAAGGACCCACGCAAAGTGCAGAGCTTCTACTGGACGTTCGCTGAGTTTGAAAATCTTGTTCATCGGGAGGAAATGTGGTTCATTGTTACATGTACTCCGTCGCTCATTGTCGAGACCATGGACAGCGGCATGTCGCAGTTAGTCAAGCATGTACTGAAACACATGTTTTTCAATGACGAGTCTCATCACCTGACGAAGACAGGCATTTGCTTGGATTTGCGCGAGAGCGAAAACGATACCAATGATTTCACCAGGCTCTTTGCGCGTCATTACGGGACATTGGCTGACTTCAAAGCTATCAAGGAAGTCCTCGGTAGCATGGGCCACCGAGGCATCGTGCCATGCCCTTTGTGCCGAAACATCGCCAAGGACGGTAGATTCGGGCACCTCCCGTTGGACAATTTGGAGTGCCACCTTTGGGAGCCGCACTCGGACGCTTCTGTGCGAAACTTGCTGGGAGAACTGATGGTTGCAAAAACTGTTTTGGGTAAGACTGCTTACGCAGAGTTGGAGACCAGGAAAGGGTTCCACTACGGGCCCCACTACCTCACTGCTGATGCCGCCATGAAGCCAATCAGCACCACCATGTACGATTGGCCGCACATATATTTCATCACTGGGCTTTTCGAGTACGATCTCGATGAATTTATGCACAAGGCCAAGGCGGCTGCGGGGAGGAACAAAAAGGGCCTGGTGGAATACACAGACCTGCACGCGTACATGCAGCAGTGGACGTGGCCTCGGGAGTACAAGAGAACGGCTGAAATCTTCGAGACCAACAAGCTGGCCGCCACTGCGAGCGAGCAGCTGTCAGCGACACCAGTCGTACAGAGGTACTTCTCCAACGTGGTTGCAAAGGAGGAGAGCCTTGCCGCCCTCCACGGTGCAGCGGAATCAGTTTCGCTCTGTTGTGAGAGCATAGAGATGCTGCAATGCGCATCGCGCAAACAGGTGTCCGCGGTCCAGCTGCATGATTGCATCATGAAGCACTTGCATAAGTTTCGCGACGTGCACGGGCGAGGGCCCTGGCAATTCAAGCACCACCAGGCTGCTCATCTCGGTCCGCAGTACCGAGATTTCGGTTGCCTTTTCGACACGTTCGTCACCGAGCGAAGGCATAAGGACCCGAAAAAGTTCGCAATGAACCGCCAGTCGAGAGGCATATACTACACCAGGGGTCTCATGGAGGAGCTGTGCTGCCAACATTTTGCAGACCTTAAACAATTCTCGACGCACGTAAGCGGCAACTGGAGTGCGTTGCCGAAGGCGTTGCGCATGCCAGTGGGGGAAATGTTTCCGCGCGCAGCCAATATCGAGATATCTGGCACTTTCGTTGCCGAATCGGGCGCGAAGTTTAGCAATTTGGATGTCGTCCTGCTTGGTGGCGACAGGCGCCGACAGTGCGGGGAAATCTGGTATCATTTCTGCGTTGACGGCACTTACTGGACGTGCATCTCCATGTGGGAGTTTAGAAGAGCAGACGGCCGATATGCTAAATATAAGCGGGCTGAAAAGCCAACCCTAGTCTTGTCTAACGAGTTGCTGGCCCACGGAATTTGGCGATCAGGCGCCGACGGGGCTGTTACAGTTATATGGCCGCTGCATTATATGTTTGCATGCGGTTTGATGTAAGTCGATGCGCTCTCACGCTCTGTGCCTCGTGAGATCCCCAACCGCACCACCACAAACGACGAGCCCAGAAAATCTTCAAATCCGTATGGTATATTCGGTTCCCGAGCAATTATGTTATCATCGGCGCACACAACATCGAAGTGTGAATCCAATCAGCCCGTTTCCTTTTCCAACGAGGTTTGCCTTCCCTGCGTCTGGGCGGGCTTACCTGCGAGGAGTTCGAACGTCCTTGATGGCTCGAGATGGCTCCAAGACGGCCTCAGAGAGCCCGAGCTTCCAATATGGCCAAATATACTTCAAGGTGGCTCGAGATAGCATCCGACACGAACCAATACGGTTTCAAGTGCCCTCCAACCCCCCGCGTTCAAACCCACAGAGGCCAAATTTGCACCAACACCAAAGCAAAACAAATGTTTTTTGGTGTGTTCGCTTTTTCGCTTCCGATGGGCTCTTGAGGCGTCAAGATGACCCCGAGATGGCCCAAGGGGCCCCAAGAGGGCCCCAATGGCGTCCAAGAGCGCGAAGAGCGCGAGAGCGCCTTTTTTGGAAGCTCCTAGGGGTGGGTGGGTGGAATTAAGCCCCCCTCTTTTTGAACAATGGTGGCCACTGCTCCAAGAGGTCCCCTATGCCACCAAAAAGAATTTAAGATCCCCCCCAAGACCTTCCAAACGAGCACCACATGGCCCGAAGATCCCAATACCTCCGAGAAAACGCTTCCTAGGCGGTTGTTACGCTGCCTGATTTCACTACCACCGTCAGCACCTGCATCAATAGCAGCATCACTACAACCACCAGCAAGAGCACTTGGCAGCAGCGGTAGCACCAGCAACACCGCCACCACCGTCAGCAGCAGCACCAGCAGCAGCACCTAGCAGCAGCAGCAGCAACAGCACTAGCACTATCAGCAGCACCAACATCACCACCATTAGCAGCAAATGCATTAGCAGCAGCACCAGCAGCACCAGCAGCACGATAACCATCGCCAGCATCAGCCAGCACCAGCAGCACCAGCAGCAGCAGCAGCACCACCACCACCACCAACAGCAACACCAGCACCATCAGCAGCACCACAGCAGCGCCAGCAGCATCACGAGAACCAGCAACACCAGCAGCACCCGCAGCAAAACTACCAGAAGCAGCAGCACCACCAGCACCCACAGCACCACCAGCGGCAATGACACCAGCAGCAGCGCCAGCAACACCTGCCCAGCAGCAGCAGCACCACCAGCACCAGCACCAGCAGCAGCGCCAGCAGCACGAGAATCAGCAACACCAGCAGTAGCACCAGCAGCAGCAGCAGTGCCAGCAGCAGCAGCAACAGCACCAGCAGCAGCACCCGCACCCTTCGCTACCAGAGATCTCCCCAATTCAACAGTAGTGCCCGCGCTGTTTCACTATGGATGGGCTGGTGGGGATACGCGAAGTGTCAAGAATTTCGTTTAAGTTAGCATTGAAATTATAGGCGCGAACAACAGAAACAGAAATTTGATCAGGTTAACATCATGCGCACGAATGTAATTACAACCTGCGAAAATCTTGTTCCGAACATGGAAATATACGAATCCAGATTGCATGCTGAAAAAATCGACCTCCGAACATGGAACTCACAGAAAGCATGTTAGCAAAATCGCAAACAGTTTGGAACCAAAACCATTGAAATTTAGAACCCACGGGCTACTTACGGGCTACTTACGGGCTACTTACGCGGCTACTTACGGACTACTTACGGGCTACTTACGGGCTACTTACGGGCTACTTACGGGCTACTTATAAGTTACTTATAAGTTACTTATAAGTAGGCCGTAAGTTCATAAGTTACTTATAACTAGCATAAGTACTTATAAGTACCCCCGCCGCGCGCAGAGTGCTGGTGCCGGTGCCGGTGCCGGTGCCGGTGCCGGCGCAGAGTGCTGGTGCCGGTGCCGGTGCCGGTGCCGGTGCCGGTGCCGGTGCCGGTGGGCGAGAATCGTTCTATAGTGCGCCCCCGCACCTCCGACGACGACACCGATGAACGACGACCGATGATGATGGACGGCTACGGTGAGAACGACATTGACGACGACGGCCACCGAGGACGACCCATGAACGACGACCGGCGACCGAGCGACGACCGACGGCGTCTTTCGTCTGCCGCCGCTGCCCCAGGGGCGCAGCCGCGGCCGCCGAGTCCGCCGCCGCCCCCGCCGCCGTCGTCTGCGTGGCCGCTGCCGTGGCCGCCTTCCCAGACATGTGGCGCTTCTTCTTCGAGCGGGGCCCCTGGAAGTCCCGACCTCCTCCTCGGGGCCAGCCTTCTCCTCCCCGAGCCGTTCCGTGGACGGTGCGGGGGCCCTGCAAGGAGTCCCTGGAGGCCCAGAGCGGCCACAGGCGGTCTGCCGGCCTGCACGCGCGCAGGTCGTCCGGCGGGCGGCCCACGCCATCGAAGGTTAAGCAAGGTCTCTTGCCCGACGAAGTTGGCTGTATGACCATCATCCAAAGGCTGCGGTCGCTGCCGCCGCTTCGCCTCCAGAGCCCTCGGACTTCCACGCGGGGTTGTGATCTTCGCGTCGTGACTTCTGAACAACTCGGCATCGCTCGGACGTGTTTTTCCGCGGCGAGGGGCATCGAGGCGCATCCTGGATCCTATGCGCGGGGAAGGGGCGTCCGAGCGATGGTTGTCAAGTCCTCGCGCCGTGCTCTCTTGACGACGCGAACATGTCCAGGGCCATGGCGGCCGCCGCCCTCGTGCTCGGCGAGAGAGGTGTCGTTGGACACGGAGGTCTTCGTGCCCCTTGATTATTTTGTTCGAGTCCTTATTTTTCTGGCTCATCCTTTATCTCGTGGTCCTCCCTTAGGAGGAGGAGGAGGAGGAGGAGGAGGAGGAGGAGGAGGAGGAGGAGGAGGCGGAGGAGGAGGCGGAGGCGGAGGAGGAGGAGGAGGAGGAGGAGGAGGAGGAGGGGGGAGGGAGGGAGGGAGGGAGGGAGGGAGGGAGGAGGAGGAGGGAGGGCGGAGAGAGGAGGAGGAGGAGGAGGAGGAGGAGGAGGAGGAGGAGGAGGAGGAGGAGGAGGAGGAGGAGGAGGAGGAGGAGGAGGAGGAGGAGGAGGAGGAGGAGGAGGAGGAGGAGGAGGCGGAGGCGGAGGAGGAGGAGGAGGAGGAGGAGGAGGAGGGGCGGAGGAGGAGGGAGAGGAGGAGGAGGAGGAGGAGGAGGAGGAGGAGGAGGAGGAGGAGGCGGAGGCGGAGGAGGAGGCGGAGGAGGAGGGAGGGAGGAGGGAGGAGGAGGGCGGAGAGAGGAGGAGGAGGAGGAAGAGGCGGACGAGGAGATCGAGGGCCCGCCCGCAGGCATGCCGACCGTGCTGCTCACCTTCGGCTCCGGGGCCTGCGGGGAACTGGGCCACGGCCGCGCCGACGAGGCGCGGCGCACGGAGGCGGGCACGCCGCCGCCGCCGGGCGGCGCCGCCGTAGTCGTCTTCGCGGTCGGCGGCGTCGCGGGCGTCGTCGGCGTCAGGGTCGTCGTGGTCGTCGTCGTCGTCGTCGTTGTCGTCGTGGGCGTCGTGTGCATCGTGGGCGGCCGTCGTCGCCGTCGTCGTCGTCGTCGGTG